TTTGGCCGGGGAATCCACTCGCAAAATTTTGGCGCCGGAGCTTGCTTGGGCGCCGAGTTGAAATACCCGGACAATACCCGGACAGACGCACACACACACACACACACATACACATGCACATACACACATACAGTCACATACTGTTACGACGACGACGACGTTAGGATGCTGTTACAACGAGCTTCGGACGAGACTTGGATGAACGCTGATGTGCTGTAGCGCTTAGTGGAGAGACTGGAGTAAACAAACGAAATATATCAACACCAATACAGTTTACAATTGAGTAGTTTGGGCGACGGGAACAAGTCGGACGACTGCAGCGACAGCAGCTGCAGACGAAGAGTGCTGCTAACTGGAATGCAGTAACACAGTGCTGCAATGGACCGCTGGACTCCAAACACGGAACACGGGGCACAAGACACACTGAACGATGATACGGAACAATGAATACAGTGAACTTTACAACAAATTTACAGGCTTAAATACTAATCACAAAGGGCGGGACAGATCACAGGTCAATTTGCAGCGCGATTCCGGATTGCTGTTTGCTCCTCCTGCGCGCCATCTTTTCCTCACTCTACATGCCGCCTCCTGTTGAAGCTCGGACCCCGAGCTCTGCGGTTCTCTGCACGATACGGATGAGTTCGTTGCTGCGTTGTTTTGGCCGCGGCATCTAACCTTCGTTTCCTCTGCATCGTTCGAACTCTTGGCTCTCTTTCCGATACGGCTGCGCCCAAGTTCTGGGCTGCCAGATCAATGCGAATCTGGTAACAATATTTTAGTGCTGCGGCAAATCTCCTCGCTCCCACGGTAGTCCAATTTCCGTTGTTAGAGCAATACTTGCCGTTTCTCCAAAAAAGTTGTTGGCCCGTTTCAAATACCAGTTCAATTTCTTCGGGTCCGTCTTGCCAACGCGCAAAGACCCAAGAATGGTCCGCATACTTTCCCTTCATTGCCATAAACCATTCTTTCATTTTCTGCAGTGTTTGTTCGTGGCCCTTTA